ACTGATTTTAAAGATTGTACTCACTATGAGAACTTTCTTGATTTTTAGAGATGAGCATAACTAGAAATATATATTCACTTTAAAATGTCCATGAATTTTTATTATAATTATGATTATTTTTTTAACCTTTTTTTGTTAATTTGTTTACTGAGCAGATTCTTATTCAATATACATTCCCATTAGTTTATTATTAATAATATTGTTAATTTCTTAATTTTTCTGAAAAAATATTTATTCACTATATAATTACATATTCACTTCTATTACATCTTAATTACTATTAATAATAGTAGGTGCATTATTTATTTTTGTTAACATTTTTTCAATTTATTAATAGATTTTCCAACCCTGCAAATCACACTTTTTTCCTAGACATTTTCTGGCTTTCCATGATGTTGGAAACCCTGATATGTGCATACTAAAGCAAAATTAATCAGACATTAAAAGGAAAAACAGCTTAAAAGGACAAACTACTTTTAATTTACACAAAGCAGAATCAAAACAAACCAGGACATACATTTAAACTAACAAGTTGTATAGGAAAAACCGCATGCACCAAATTACTCAATAACATTTTTTATATAGCTAAGACAATAGTATCAAATTATATAAAAAACTAAACACACATCAAATCATTATACATTTGCAAATACACAAGCAAATGAGACACAAATACTGCATAAGAAAATCTGACACATAGAGACAAAAATCACACTCACTAATCTGACATGCTCCATTAAAAAAAAACATAAATAAACATAATAAAAAACAAAAAACAGTGGTCTGTTGACATATTTGATTCATTAAACTGTGTTGTTACACATTAAAGGAATTACAACCCTCAGGCAAATGTTACATAAAAGAAGACAGTAACATTCTTGCAAGTCAGGTATAGATTACAAAATATATCATGACAGTAATATCTAATAATAATTTGTGCGATATTCACATTACAATTTCTATAGGCAAGAGTGTAAGAGGGCAACATTTTGTAGCTATGTTTAGATGATGGAAGACTTCTTAAACTGAACAGTTATTTTTAAACCTACAAGGAAGACCAGTTTCCTTTAAAGGGACAATGTGTAAGAATTTCTCCCATCTAGCGGTGAAAATGTATTTAGCATTCAAACGAATTGTGCTCTCTAGCGCCTCGCTTTTTCAAATGCGCGTTGCATCTACGGTAGCCATTATGTACCAAAAAAGCTATGACAAAATGTCTTCTAATAGCAATTCGTTGAGTGTTCCTTCGGGTGGACAGGTTTGTTATTTCAAACAAACAGCAACTTGAAGGCGTTCTCCGACGTAAACTTCGCCGACGTTTAACGCCTTGTGACTAAACAAAGGGTGAGTGTGCATACCAACGCCACACATAAAAGCGTCATTTTTTAAAAAAACGCCTCAGGTTCGTTTTTTTAGTTTGACGCACTGCGTCAAAAACTATCCGACCAATGAGATTGCCGCTTTTGCTCACGTTTGGAGCTTCTGATGTTACAGTAAAACACAACTTGGGGGCGCTCAAACACAAAACGGTCTTGAAGAGCATACATATGCAATGGCGAAGAAGATATACGCCAAGTAGCGTCGTACTGCAAGAAAGAAATAAGATGTAAGGCAAGATGAATGCAGAGCTGCTGTTCTCGTTGGTGCTAGAATATAAAGAACTATACGAAAAACGCGACAGGGACTGCAAACATCTTGATAAAAGAAAACTGATATGGAGTGGTATTGCACAGCAAATTGGCGCCATCTAATGTCAGGGAATGAATTTGCATGTTCACTCGGCTCATCGTCAGCGAAAATGGCTTGGGTGTGAACACAAAAAACGCGTTGAAAAACGCTGACGAATAACGCGCGCCGATATTCGTTCCGGTGTGTACGGGCCTTGACACAAACGAATGTTACATTATGAATTACTGACTGTGAAAAACATGAACTATTATAATAAGTAGGGCTGGGTATTGAGACAAATTTCACAATTTGATTCGATTTCGATTCACAAGCTTGCAATTTGATTTCGATTACGATTCGATTCAATATCGATTATTTTGGACATCAGTTACAATAAATGGCATTTTTTCTCAAGGGAATCAAATCTCTTAACTAATGCTGTAAACTATGGGAGTCTAGTTGTAGCCTACTAGGCTTCATTAGCCTAATATGAAGGTAATAATGAATGAATCACTTAAATTACACTTTTATTTATTTTTATAATAAGAAGATTATATGAAATATAAACATTTAAATGGTGGCTGTCATAAAAAACTTGCCAGATTTATTCAAATATAAGGTAATAATGAATGAATCACTTAAATTACACTTTTATTTATTTTTATAATAAGAAGATTATATGAAATATAAACATTTGGTGGCTATTTAGCAAAATGCTCCTCTCTGTCTGTAGTTATTTTTTCCTAGCTGACTAAGGAGTTGATGTGGGTTTTCTGAGGTAAATATGACGATACATTGATTACAAGCTGTTTAACTGACGTCTTTCCACGGTTGAAACGCTGATTGAGCGAATCAATGTAACATGATACGATTTTCGATAAGTTGTAACGTTACTCTATCTTTTAACACACTTTCAGATGCTCAGTCATGTTTATTTCGCGCTGTGACTGGTATTATTAAGCCGGAAGAGAGATCAGCGCTGCTGCTTCTCCAGAACGATCTCACGCCACAGCGCCAAAACTCTATTTATGTTTTTGAATTTCTAAAGAAAATGGACGTAATTTGAAAATGGAGACTTTGCTTCATATCAATAGTAACAAAGGACAAAGATTATTGCGATTTTTTTTATGCGCGCAGCCGCGATACAATATCCCATTCATTCAAATGAAACAGGATGAATAATCGATTCTTGAGACTTAAGAATCGATATCGGTTCGTAAAAATGAGAATCGATTAATATCGAGAAATCGATATTTATTACCCACCCCTAATAATAAGTAGTCATGCCTTCTTTCTTCGTTATATTTCTGAAGTACGTGCATTGTTAGATATCATCAACTTGTAACTATAAATGTTCATCTGTCTATAAAATAAAGTACACAATCAAACAATTTAAAAAAAAAAAACTTGTAATTAAGACTGTAACATTGACTTATCTGTCGAGAAGAAAGCAGGACTCTTTTGAAATCTTTCTCCTGCATTAGCTCTATCCACCTGGAAAAAGCTATCCCGACATTAACTCGTGTTTTTTGTAATCTCCGGTCACGTTTACTTTTACGATCTATTTTGGACTTTTCTGGCGACGAGGATTTGCAATGCAGCCTTTTAAACTTGCCTCTCACTGCTCTGCTCCTCCACTTCTGCTGCGTTCAGTCACGTTACGCTGGCTCTGAACGAAAAAACGCTGTGGAAACACGTTGGCCTAGTACTTTTTGTCCCTCTCTGTTATTATAGTTTTTCAAGATGGCGGAACTACATGGAAGCCTCCGTGGACCTACCCGTCCCATGTATATAAAGATACTAAATTCTTCATTTACGAGGATAAGTCAGATAGTTGGCAGAGATATTTATACACAATTGAGGACATAAATATAACAAATGAATAAAAATATTGATTTTATATACATAAAAAAGTACACATTGTCCCTTTAAAAAGACTAATACAGTATACAAGTATATATAATATCAGTACAGCACTATCAAAAAAGAAATTGATATAGTTTCTTGAGACTTACAGTAAAGGCAACAATTAGTGTCTAGAATAATTCAAGCAGCGTTTCATAAAGCTCAACACTGCATGACGCCATTCAAGTACATTTAAAGTGGCTCTTCACATGAAATCTCTGTTGATCACACTCAGTTAACTGCATCACATGTCAAACACGATTTATAACAGCTGTATATATCTGTTCATGCCATAAATGAATATTTGCTCAGAGATGACTGTACTGAAGTAAATATTAAACTCGTCAGATAAGCCAGCACTCACGCAATATTTCAACTACAATTCAGCAATGTAGAGAAAAAAGGCAGCGTGTTGAATCCTCATCAATATAGGGAATATGGTTTGGTCTCTAGTCTATTACAGGACTGTAGAATATGTATTGGTCTAGAATAGATCATGCTTTTGAGAAAATATGCAAGTTAAGGCACTCAGCCCAAAAAGTCCTCTCTTATAATTTGGTTTGCTTGTTTTTCTTTGAGTACAGTAAACTATGACACCCGTTTACACCTGGTTTTAAGATCCGTCTCGGTTGATTCAATCACATGTAGTCAGTGGCCCTACTAAATAGGGTGCAAATGATCGGTTCACTCACTCAAACCACATTCAGAGGTAGTCAGAAACACATGTGACCATGTTGCATTTGTAGTGTAAACGTTATAAGGGTCGTCTACCATCCATTGTGCTTATAAACAAGGGTTTTAAATTCAAAAGAAGAAAAAAATTGAAAAAAATGCATACTTATGCACAAGAAAGTAACTTATATGGCTGATATCAATATTAGTAATATTAATTCTAGTTAGCTTAAAGCACAAGTAATCAGGATCATTTTTGTGCTTTAAAAAAAAAAATTGTGCTTTATCAAAATGCAGTAACACACGGACATAGTAGGTGATGTACATAGTCATGAGACCTTTCTTTTGAACTCCTAGCAAGTTGCTAAATGAATGTTAATACCAGGTTTAAACAGGGCTTTGACTTTGCTATTGTTTTTAAGCAAATCTGATGTTGAATATTTATGTTAAAATGCAATGTTATATAACACACACACACAAACACACACTACCGTTCAAAAGTTTGTGAGCGGTAAGATTTTTTAAAATCTCTAATGCTCACCAAGACTGTAGAAACACAAAATACAATTAAGAAATATTATTGCAATTTAATAATCCTTTGCTATTTTAATGTTTTGTATAATAAATGTAATTTATTCCTATGATGAATTTTCAGCATCATTACTCCAGTCTTCAGCGTCACATGATAAAGTTAAAAAGAACAGCATTTATTTGAAATTGATTTTTTTAACAATATATAACTCTCTGTGCTCACTTTTGATAAATTTACTGCATCTTTCCTGAATAAAAGTATTCATTAAAAAAAGACCTTAAAACTTTTGAACGGTAGGATATATAGCTTAACAACATGAATGGACGGTCCCTATAGTAACTTTGCAATCCCACTGAAATAAACCCCCCCAAAAAAAACTTGTTGTAGGAACCTCCTTCAAGACACCTGACCTTCCTGTCAACAGCACTTCAGGTAAAAGAATCACACTCAGTCTGTCAGAGGTAGAACTCTATGAACATGCTTGCATATTAGTATAGAAAACCACAATGGCCCCCATCCTTCTTTCAGATGACGTCAACCACTGTAACAGGATATATAGCTGGTGGTTGGGCAATCGCATGCACTGAGGATGATATAAGAGAAGAGATTGTGGCCTCTGTTTCCCCCTCTTGGCACTACAAAGTACTGCTGGTTGAATGAGCGCCGGGAGATGTTTGTGGTTTATGACTCCCTCTACCAGCGAGATTTATGAATTGCTACTGAGACGTCTGCGTAAGAGAGAGGCAGGTTTTGAGCCTGAATCCTCCTGATCGCTCTCACAGTCTCTCTGATTGGAAAACACCAGGAAAATGAAGCATTGAGTTATTTACAAGAATTAATCACATCTGCCCTGTATTTCTCATTAAGACCTTTGTCAAAGATAATTAGCGTTTAAAGGTGCAGTATGTAAGAATGATAAGAAAACACAAAACTGCAGTCCAAATTCGAAATATCAGAGACCGTTGTTGCCCCCGCCCCCTCCTCCTCAGACTCGACGCAGTTTGAGGACACACAACAGGAGCAAATGCAATTGACTTCAAAAAAACCAAGGAGACTTATAGACTGTAAGTTAATGAGTTGATTTATCCACGTTTTAATATGCTCTCGTTCATTTAGATTTTAGATGGATACCGGTGCTTTTTAGGTTGTGTGGAATGTGCAATCTCTGACCAGTTTGTTTGCCCGTTTCCAAGGCTGCGATACGCTGTGTTTCCTGCTAACTGGCATACCGGGGTGAACAGGCAGTCGGCAAGATTACACAGACCAAAACAAAACCTGACTGACAATGTGGAACGTGTAAAATAATAAGTTATATAACTAGGGTTGGGAATCGTGAGAAATTTTCCGGTTCCGGTTCCGATTCCGGTTCCGCCAAATGCTTCCGGTTTCGGTTCCGGTTCCCATTCAATTAAAAATATTAGTAAGAGAAAAATTCACAATCCCTTTTGTGTTTATTTCCTATAGTACTTGACAAATGAGTTTAACAGACTGGTAATGTAAACAAATTCAACATATTATTAATCAATCTTTGCAAAAAAAAAAAATTAAGAATAATTAATTCTGCATTCTCTAGAATAATTTAGGACCTCTCCTTTATTGTATCTACAACAGTGATACCCTCTCAGAAGGGGTAGAATATGCTTTAACACACACGTGTGTAGAACAGATTATTTTTAAAAACGGTTTAAATTTTGATTCATAAAGACTTTAACCCTTTCACACGTAAGTTTAAAATATTCTAACTGACCCCCCCAGCGTGAGTTTTTCAAGGCGACCGTTATTTAGAACTTGCCACTTTAATGTTTCCATGGTGGAGCGTCATTGCTTGTCACATGACACAGCACAACCAGAACAGAGCGCGGAATGAATGATGATCTGCTTTTATTGTCATTTTTCCTTTTTTATTAAAAATATTCAAAAATGTATTAGCTATATCATGAAACACTGATATTCCGATTGTCAAATATGTGCAAATGGATGGGTTTTGTTGTTTAGACATCTTTATAACGATCGCGTTAGTTGAGCTGTATGCACAATTGGCGGCGCCATTTTAGTTTCGTTTTCAGTTCAGAGAATCGGATCTGTTGGATTTATAACGTCAATTCATCCACTTCTCACGAAATACATGATAGTAAATGGCTGGTGAACTGGGAGAAGAATAGGATCAAATGTTAAGCAACTTACACAATGTGTATCTGATATGAATAAAACGTGTCGTCTTATTATAATTGAAAGGATTATTATTGCCGCTTCTATAGACATCTGTGTGTATTTTACAAACTCAAAATCATTGTTTTGCTAGTACATATGTGTATTTAAATGTCTGAAACCTAAAATAAACATTATGTGGTTGAAAACACTCAATAGTTGTGATATATGACAGCACTGAGTGCGTCTGTCTCTGGCTGAGCGCCAGCCAACGCGCGAGAGCAAGTTTGAATTTAGCAGTTTGCTGACGTGTGCACTGAACGTTCTAATCACACCGGTGTGATCGTACGCTCCAGGGACCAGCCAAGACTGATCACACCGGTGTGATCGTACGCGTGAAAGGGTTAATTATTGCATTATTACTGGATAGCAGTTAATAAACTGCAGTGCATGCGTCTAGCGGAAGAACATAGTTGCCGGAGCTACTTCTCTCTGTTTATGTCCATGACGAGTCATGCAGGCATTGGGCTACTCCGCAGCGGCTGCGATCCGCCATCCAGTCTAAACAAGTCCGAGTAATAACGCTTATTACAGGCTTAACATAGTGATTCAAGATAAGATAAAAACACAGTTTAAAAAACAAGCATTCATGATGCACTCGCACATTGTATAACGTTACATATTGTAAATTCTGAACACAAAAAAGTTACGGACTGCATCTGTTTTGACTACTACCGTCAATGTTTACTCAAACTATGATCTCACTACTTCTGTAACGTTAATCATTTGAATATGTGTAACATAAATATTGATACTGTGTGATTATAAAGCAGTTTCATATCGACAACTGCTCTCTCTCTCTCAGCGCAAACTGATTTGAACGTACGTAACTCGGCGCGCGTGTGTGTTTACATTAAATGCGGCGCGTGTGAGAGCAAATCGCAACTTCTGTGGTGAAGTTTTTGTCATTTAGGAATAAGACGGCGTAGGTGTTTGAATCGAAATCTTTTAAAGATTAATCATGCAGCTCTACTCTCTCTCTCTGTCTGCGCCTGGAGGTGAGACGCTAAACGGATAATCTACTCCCAGGACTTCGCCCTCATATCGCACCAGAACCGTTTTAGGAACCGAAACTTGGGAATTTTGCACGGTTCCGGTATTTTTTCAAAAACACTACCGGTTCTGGAAAAGAACCGGTTCTCGGTTCCCAGCCCTAGATGTAACTGTCTGTAGAAGTGTTTTTCAGAGAAACGAGAAAGTGAACTTAGCATGTTTGCTAAATATTAAGGTATTTTTATGCTTTAGTAGAGTAAAAAAGTTACATACAGCACCTTTAACATTTTATTTATACTGTGCATCATGTTAGTGTTTATTTTATTGTCTTTAATTCAGATTTAAAATATTTCAAAAATAATTAAAATTATGATTTGATGAAATTTGCATCATTGTTCCTTAATACGGCGAAATGCTTTGAAACAGATTCTATAGTAAAAATAAATATTAAATAATAAAGAAATGCTGTCCTTAACTGTTCTTAAAAATAATGTACAATAAAGGGTTTTATTTAATTCACCTGCTTGATTATTTGTCTCAACTTAAATTTTGAATAAATTTAAGAATGTTTGGGGGAAATATGAACCTGTTTCTATGAGACTCTTACCAATTCTTGTTGCTCTGGACCGCGGGCCTTACACAGTAACTGCAGTCGACAAAACCGATTACAAGCCGAAACCATATTAAAGGACATCTACAGAGTGAGATGAAAAAGGCAACAAGATTTACATAGTTAATAAATATTACAGTGTATTTACAGAAAATGTATGTCACAATCCAGACAGAAAAAGGCATCATGATAGGAAAAACAATGACTCAGTGTTTCTACTGAACAGCAGGGGTCTGTCTTTACACATTGTGTCTGTTAGGTCAGAGAAAAAATTTGAGTCAGCTAAGGTAGTGTTAAGCAACCAGTTCAGACATTTAAAGGAACTGTAATTTTACATTCATGGGTTTATTTAGAGCTTAAAAGCCCCCAGAAATAACTGTCTGTCATTACATGAATTTCTTTCCAAATAATTTTATGTTTGATTTATAGGAAGTGAAACCCCAGCATGTGTTTGGAACAACATGATGCTGAATCGATATCAGTTTTTTTGGGTGCTCTATCCCTTTAAGAGAAATGCAACCATTGACATCACAGTGAATAAAAAGAGTGTGCATCATCAAGACTGATCATCTAGATGTGTATTAATAGTACATGAGGGACAAAGACTGACTGAGGGAGACAGAAAGGCAAAGCATGCAGAAACACAGGTAGTGACAAAAGTTGGTCTGTGGGTGACGACAGTCTACACACTCCAGCCAATAGCGAGTTTCTCTGACCATGCTTACAAAACCCACAGCAGGGCTGTTTGACAAACAAACACCAACCTTCCATTTCCTCCTCGCATTGAACTTCTTAAAGTTTTTCATGTTGATGGAGGAGCGGTTCCTCTTGGCTATTTGAGTTCTATTGAGAGGCTAAAAGAGAAATGAATGTGGGAAAAAGTTACTGTAATAATCCTTATGAGAAGGTAAAATGATAAATAATTATGCCATATATAAGTCATACCATATATAGTCATGCCATACATATATATATATATTACAGTATATAAGTTTATGCATCTCACCTTAATCCAGGGATGAACGAGGCACTCGTCTGCTGTCATTCTTTTACTAAATACAAGTGCACAGATGTAAAATAAAAATATTTAACCCTTAAAAATGATTTATTAGACAAAAGTTAGTTTAGAAAGTTAAAGATTAAAATAACAGCTTGAAATCTCAAGATAGACATACAGATAGATACAGACCAGCCTGAGAGACAGCAGGTGAATGTGTGTGTGTCCACCACAGTGACCCTCAGTAATGTGTGTGTGTGTGTGTGTGTATGTGTTAAAAATCAAATGTTTACACACATTTTAAACTTTTACACTGTTACTGTAATTTATATTATATGTTATATGTTATAATATTTTAGTATTTTCATATCTTTATAATTATTCTATGTATTCCAAGCTTTGACAATATTGTATTACGTATGTACTGTACAGTCATGCCAATAAAGCAATTTTGAATTGAAATCGAATTGAACTGAATTACGTAATAGAGATGAAGACAGATAGATAGATAGATAGATAGATAGATAGATAGATAGATAGATAGATAGATAGATAGATAGATAGATAGATAGATAGATAGTTTTTTTATTCGCTTTGGTACTATTTTCAAAAGTAAGGTGTACATTTTCAAAACTCTTAGTGCTAATATCACAACAGATCATCAAAAGTGCACTTTTTTCAAACATTTCATCATGTTTTCAACTGTGTTAGTACAATTCACACAATCACAAAGTATCCTTGTCACAACACAAAATAAGTGTTTCATCTACATTATTGTTTCATTCACAGCAACTGCCTTTCATTAAGCTCTTACTATCAAACTTTTGATTTGCATCTCGTTTTGTTCAGTTTAATACTTTTGTCTATTATTTAATCCAACTGATCTTAATGTTTAATCAATTAATCATTTGGTAAACCTATAGATTTTCAATTCAGCAATATACAGTATATGGATTTTGAGAACTACAGAAATAAAATGTGTGTTTGTATGAATACTTACAGTAAATTACATGTAACCTCACATGATGAATACTCGTTATAGCTAATTGATTTCACATAGTGCTAACCACAATTGGCCAAATGTGTGCACTAAATGTTATGTTTTGTTCTTATTTACGTAGTTACATTTCATTATAGAAAGTATACCTATGTTACAATTTTATCTGAAAAATAAAAACTATAATTTGCCTAAATGACTGTAGAGAATGTCTTCATTGATCCTTCACTTGATTAGGCCTACATATATGATGGGTATTTGGAAATTATAGATTATGTACGTAAATGTTGGGTACTGTAAGTGTATTGCCTAATGAAACAGTAAAACTGTGTAATCTGTCTTTTATAGTACTGTAGCATATTCATTTCAGCACTTCTAAGGCCGATTTGAAACATGTATCTTGCATTGTTTGCTGTTGGATGAACTGATTGTTAAAAGTACTAAACTGAAAGAAGATCATATTGTTGTGTTTCAGTGATTAAACCAAATGTTCTCATTACATATTACAATAATCTTGTGTTTGAAACAATGATTATGTGGACTGAAAACATGTGCAACTGACTGAAAGCATTACATCAGGTTTTGAAAGAATGACTAGCTGCGTTACAAGTGTGATCAGTTTGGATTTTTGTACTAAGAGTTTTGAAAATGTACACCTTACTTGTGAAAATAGTACCAAAGCGAATAAAAAAAACTGTAAATAGACAGACTAGATATATATATAGATATATATATATATATATATATATATATATATATATATATATAGATAGATAGATAGATAGATAGATAGATAGATAGATAGATAGATAGATAGATAGATAGATAGATAGATAGATAGATAGATAGATAGATAGATAGATAGATAGATAGATAGATAGATAGATAGATAGATAGATAGATAGATAGATGACTCGTTACCTCTGGTCTTTAACTAGTAGTTTCAGGATGAAGTCTTTGGCCATGTTGCTGGTTTGGCTGAAGTGGTGAGGCTCAAACTCATAGTTCATTGCCACAATGTTCCTCAACGTCTCTTCATCAGTGTCCCCTTGGAATGGTGACAGGCCACTCAAACTGATGGCATAAATATACATGAATAAAACATTTTTTTAACTTGGGGACAAATGTTTGTTTGCCTAGAGTTCCTAGGGAGAGAGTGAACTGCAGATATAACGCCTTCATAAAAATGCATTATGAAAAAAATTAGACCATTTCAACGGCTATTTGTTGGCTTAAGGAAGTGATATCTTTGTTTCTGGTTAGTTGTCGAGCTCATTCAAAACATTAGCGGAGAAGCAGTATTAACATTAAGCGGCATGACATCTTACATACAGAAGTCATTGGCACCTGCTGCTGTGCTTAGTGCCACATCCGGTTGTCATTAGCATGTGCCAGTGAACAGTGGCATGTGCCACTAAAACTTGTGACACGAGCCGACGGACTACGTTATGTACCTCTGACATTGCACCTCTTTAACCTGGATGTCTATTATAATGTGCCTACAGCAAGTCAAATACTTTAACAAAACATGCATGTTCACACTGTTACTGTAAAAAAAATGGTTATATTTCATATTCCATAAAATTCTAGATGAGAACCACTAACCACATTTTATTTTTATGTATTTCTCAATCATTTCAACTAAATTTTATTTGATAATGTATTTATTTGAAATGTTTTACTTATATTTACTCAGTTCATATGCTATATGTAATTGAGTTCATTGCGATACTTTTATCAATATTTTTAAGTCTAAAAATGTTTCGCCCAAAAAACTGTAAATCATAGTAAAGTTTTTAGAGTGCAGTATATACAGAATTAGACTACTGAGATCTTAAAGTTGTGATCTTATCAGCAAAAAACCTTTCCAAAGTTGTCACAGAGAGCAGTAGAGGGCTTTAAAAAGGAATTCACAGGAGGATTTACTGTAAAACAGAGTTAATAGTAGAAAACAGAACTTGAGGTTTATGAGAATTGTTTGTGATAAATTCAGAAAAAAAAAATGCTTTTTGCAGCCTTTGCAGCTTTCTGAAACAAGCTCTAAGAGTTTTAAGATTTTATAAGGAATGTCAATCTGCCCTTTTTCCATTGGCGCTACTCTTTCCATTGGCGCTATTCATTCTTCACAAGAACATTGAGTAAAAAAAGCAAGTTAAGCATCCCAGCGATGGATTTCTGAAGATTCGGCCAGTGAGAGGGAAAGTGAAGAGTACAGGCCTGCGGTCAGAGAAAGATGCACTACAGATTTCTAAGTTTGAAATAGAGAAACCAGGCGTTAATATCAGATCAAGAGTGTGGCCATGGATATGTGTCGGACCAGAAACCCAAATTCTATAAATACCGAAAATGGTTTAGAAGCACAGCAAACATGTTTGTTGGAACGCTTAGAGTAACGTATAAAGGTTTAGAGTATGGATGCGACTGTTAATGCGATATTTATAGTGAGTTGTATTTCCTAGACTGGGCAGTTTGCGCAATAAACAACATACAATAAAACTGTCAGCTCAGCTCTGTCACTACTGGAGGTGCCACAACATATGGTGACATGTTCCACAGAATTGTCAGTGGTACATGACGCAATCCATCGGCATATCACAAGTTTTATTGCCGCATGTCTCTATCCGCTAGCACATGCCAATGAAATCCGGACGTGTCATCGCACAAAGCACAGCGGCATCTGCCAACGGCTTCTGTGCGTAAGATGCCATGCCACTTAATGTTACTCCATCAGTGGGAGGCGTTAGATACACAGTGGGATTGTGCTAATTTATTAAATCTTGCTATGAAAAATGTCTAAATTAAAATGAGGTTTATGTTTCTTGGAGCTTGGATGCTCTCTAAGGCCTCTTGTCCGTCAGCCAGTACTTGTGACATCACATGCAAAGTATGAATAGTTTCCATCAAAAGCCAATCGTTTCTACAGATCTCATTTCTGAGTCTGAAATATGAGAAAATATGGTGATATTTCAAAATTTATGCACACCCCCTTTAAGATCAACTGCTTGATTCCTGCTTAAAGCTGTAGGCATTTACTTAGCATTCTGATGGCTATCTACTCCATATCTGGTGTGCTTCATTTCTGACATAAGTGATCTCATCCCACAGAACCTGACCTAAAAACTTGAAAAACCACATTGCTTGTCAAAGGGAGGCTTTATTTCGGAGGCAATTTATGTCCTAGTTAAAATCTGAATATCTAGAGCAGGACCTTGGTTTGCAGAATAATCTTAAAGGATTTGGCTGTCTGAAGTGTTATCATATGATGAACAATACAAGATTACTTACAGAATGTAGGTAATGACACCAATACTCCTAAAAAAACACACACACCAGAATGAGTAATCATTAGTAATTGAAATTGAGTTATTCAACATACAAACCAAAAATAAATATTTATAACATAACATTTTTATTAACTACTTTACATATATTTTATAAAAAATGTTATATAAATACTAGGGCTGTCAAATGATTAATCGCGATTAACCGCATCCAAAATAAAAGTTTGTGTTTGCATAATATACAGTATGTGAGTGCACTGTGTATAATTATTTTGTATATATATATAAATACACACACATGCATGTATATTTAAGAATTTTTATTTATTTATATATAAAATATTTATATTTATATATAATATAAATTAGATATAATTCTATGTACAGTATATACATGAAAATATATACAACAAGCATGTGTGTGTATATATATATAGATAAAATAATTCTACACAGTGCACCCACATATATTATGTAAACACAAACTTTTATTTTGGATGCGATTAATCGCGATTAATCATTTGACAGCCCTAATAAATACTATTTTTATCTCACAACGAGTGATATAACTATTGTTAATATTATAAATATATAAAATATTTTCCAAAAAAGAATTCAATTTATATTACATATTTTATAAATATATAATATATCTTTTTTTATTACAATATATTCTTTTATATGTTAAGTGACATATTTGAAATTATTTCAGATTTTATCAGTGTTCTCCGGAAACTGAACCCATGACCCCGGCTTTGTTTGTGGCTTTGTGCCATGCTCTACCAGTAGAGCTTCAGGAATGAATGAGATGTAAACCGAACACATATTTTGCTAACAATTATGCTAACCAGACATGTGTTGTCTTATGCACAGCAGACCATACTGCGTTTTGTCAAAAGCCAAAATAGCTTCCCTTCTGACTATGTTTCTTACATGACATCCATATTTAGTTACATAGTATGACCTACAAATACATATACACGTTGAGACAGATGCACACACTTAAATGAGCACCTGGTGATGTCTGAGGAAAGATGCATCAAGTCTGAGCACGCCTAAAACTCCCTTATGCATTCAGACCCTACATTTGCATGTTCGTTTGAGTGTTTGTTACTGATTTAACCAGGCAAGACTTACCACATATCAGCTGCCGTCCCGAGAGGCTCAAAGTTGATGATCTCAGGGGCTGAGAGAAAAGGAAAGATAATGTAGAGTTAAAATAAAACTCACTAACTCTCCCGTTGGCTCTCATAAAAACCTTTTCAGTTGCAAAAGCGCACCGATCTCATTTTATTGCATTAATCAATAGTTTCAGACAGCTTTGGCCAGACAGAAGCAAGCTTTTTTTGAGAAGCCAAACTCACAAAAATCAAACCATTAAGTGCATTCTTTGAGATCCATGGCACATGTTAATGTCCTCACATGAACCACAGCAGATTGTGCTCTGTTCCCTAATGAGTTTCATAAGAACAAAGCTTCACTTTACCTTGACACAAAATCTGCAGGACTTTTTTTATTTTTTAATTAGGTGAACTATCCCTTTAAACCTGTTAGTCTATCAAATGAACGTGTATTTTAAATGACGAAGTGGTGGTGATAGCTTAATTTGTTGGGATAGGTTCAGCCTTAAAGGGTTAGTTCACCCAAAAATGAAAATTAAGTCATTAATTACTCACCCCCATGCTGTACCAACCCCGTAAGACCTTCGTTCGTCTTCGGAACACAAATGAAGATATTTTTGATTAAATTTGAGAGCTGTATAACTACCACATTGGCTCCTAAGGGACTGCCTCTTGACGGCCCAGAAAGTCAATGAAGAAAATGTTTAAATATCCCAAGTGACTACCGTGGCTCAACTATATGTTTATCAAGCGACGCGAATACTTTTTGTGCGAAAAAACAAACAAAAATAACGAGTTTATTCAACTATTTCTTTTCTTCCTTGTAGGCCAGAACGAGACTTCCTTAGATTTCCACGACGCATGCGCGAGAATTGCGATCTGCGTACACCAGCTTACACCACTTCAGATCGCAATTCTCGCGCATGCGTCGTGGAAATCTAAGGAAGTCTCGTTCTGGCCTACAAGGAAGAAAAGAAATAGTCGAATAAACTCGTTATTTTTGTTTGTTTTTTCACACAAAAAGTACTCGCGTCGCTTGATAAACATATAGTTGAGCCACAGTAGTCACTTGGGATATTTAAACATTTTCTTCATTGACTTTCTGGGCCGTCAAGAGGCAGTCCTTTAGGAGCCAATGTGGTAGTTATACAGCTCTCAAATTTAATCAAAAATATCTTCATTTGTGTTCCGAAGACGAACGAAGGTCTTACGGGGTTGGTACAGCATGGGGGTGAGTAATTAATGACTTAATTTTCATTTTTGGGTGAACTAACCCTTTAAGTAGGGCAGACTCAGGGACTGGTGAGTTACTGAGATCACAATTCAGCCTATCACTATATGTGCTTAGAAAAACACTTAACCTCTAGTTGTTCACAAAGGATATCCTTATGATAAGTAAAGTGCTCGTATCTTTGGACAAAGGGGACAACTTAATATCAAGTAGCATACTTCTGCAAAGTCTCATCTGGAGAAAATCAGAACACTTGCTTTGGCCAATACCAATATTCATAGATTTCTACTTAAATTTACATTTATTAAAGCTACACTGTGAAAATCTTTTAGTTTATTCTTAGCTAAAAACACTTAGTTCTTTCAAAAATATATGTGCTCATTAATGCATATAACTTCATTCAAGTAATAAAGTATTCTCGTGAGTGTATAATATGCCATTGAAAATACATACGGGTAAGGGGTTCTAATGTCGGTCGCCATGTTTCCCCTCCATCTTGAAAGTACATTAGCCAAAGAGCGACATACCCGTTAATTCAAGCTTCGCCTTTCGCGTTTACGTTCGAGTTAACACTCATGGAAGAGGTCGAACTGGAAGCCATGTTAATCTTGGACTACATTGGCCACCGTAGGAGTTAAAACAAATTCGGAATTGAGAGGAACAGAAACTAATACACTGAAAAAATTAATATGCTTTATCTAATCAAGAAAATTGTGGCAACATATTACAAGCAATATTATTAATTAAATTGTACAAATTAGAATTAATTAGAATGTTAATTTGATTAACTCTTACTCAATTCTAATTTGTTCAATTTAATAAATAATATTGCTTGTAATCTGTTGCCACAATTTTATTGATTAGATAAAGCATATTCATTTTTACAGTGTATTCACTGGATGGTCATATACCTTTTCACCGCTAGATGGGGGTAAAAATCACACAGTGTAGCTTTAAACAACGTTTACAGGAAAAATAATGTATAAAAAAGTATTTCTTTAATAATAGACAAAAAACAAGTAAATTATGATTATTAAGAACACTTTTATTCATTATAAATGTATATTATTTATCAATAATTATTTCTATACATTATTTCTCGTTTATTATTTAATATTAATATTATGCATATTTAACTAAACCTATTTGTATAAAGTATTTATATCTCAAAACAGCAACTAAAATGATTATTATTATTTAAAAATAATATTTAATACATGTCTTTATTTCTAATTATTTATAATATAATATTTATATTAATTATGCATGTCAAATCTAAACATTTGTCTATTTATTATTATTATTAATTAAAATCGGTTATGCATAGTAGTATTAAAAATAATCCCTATTTGTATTGGTTGTAAAAAATAATATTGGTCCATAGTCTCCAGAAGTACAGGGAGAGTACAAAATATATGTGCCAGTATAAAGGTCATAAAGGTCAGTATTTAAAAGAGCACTGGTGTACACCACAGTATGTTTTCTGCACACACACACACCCACCCACACCCCACAGTAGTTTAAGGGGAACAGATGAGTTGTTAAACCACTCCAGGGCATTTGTGAAATACATCAGCAGTGACATCATATCTCAATCTCACAATAGATATTTCTGTTCCTGTCCACTCATTTTTCAGCTGAACTAACGCAGCTCTGCCATTTCATCTGACGTTAGCTCATCTCCATGGAGACGGCTAGAACTAAAAATTGTGCATATTGCTATAGGCAGGAACAACACATGGAGAGACAGAAGAAGGTGCTGACTGCTGAGTCAAACACACTCGAGCAGATGCAATCTAAACATGCGCACACACACTTAGCCCAAAATTTTTTAAATGTAAATGCAGATGGAATTTAGTTAAAAAAGCACACACTCAGCAGTTGACACATTTATAGTTAGCTTTTAAAATAATAGCATAATAAAAACTCTTTTTTTACCGCCATAGAAGAACGCAGAGTACACAATCCCATTCAAATAATTGGGGTCAGTAAGATTTTATATTTTAAAGAAACACATGAATTTCATTCACAGCAAAGATTCATTAAATTGATCAAAGTGAAAGTAAAGAATTTAACATGATATAATAGGTTTTCTATTTCAAATAAATGTTCGGTCCCACTTTATATTAAGTGTCTTTAAGTACCATGTACTTACATTGAAATGAATAATTTGATACAATGGACTTATTGTGTACATACATGTTTTTACATTGTACTTATATTTTAAAAATACCAGCATGTAATTACAGCTGTAATTAATTTATGCTGACCCAGCTGACCCATCCCTTACACTTAAACCCATCCTTAAACCTACCCATACCACCACACCTGTCCCTAACCTTACCCGTATCACACCTCAATAGCAGCAAAAGTGATTTACAATACAACATGAGCACAATAAGTACATTGTACTTATTTTTAAATGTAAGTACATAGTACTTAAAGCCATAAAGTGGGACAAAATGTTCTTTTTACATTTTTATTTAATGGAAAGGTGGCAATTTTTTTTCCAGAAACATTTTTGTTGGTTGACACTGAAAGTCTCTTCACATCCCGACAGCAATTTAATAATTATTGTGGTACAATAACCACCAATTTGAACCGTAGTGCATTTCTCATGCTATGCTTTTGGTATTGGACAAGCATTCAGGGCTGCATTTGTATTTTTGCGTAGGTTTATGGCTTTAAATTGAACACATTCACTTGAAGTCAAAACCACACAGACTGAACCACTCACCAATATACTGAGGGGTTCCACCTAAACTCTTATACTCTTCTCCTTGAATGAAGCGATGAGCCATGCCGAAATCAATGATCTTGATGTCAGGATTGGGAGCGAGCTTGTCCGACAACATGATGTTCTCCGGCTGAAGAACAAAAAGTAATATACAAATATGTCTTTAGCCTGACTCACAAAGAGTTTATTGATTTATTTTTGTAACTTGTATTGTTTTGTTTTTTTTTTTCTACATAGGTTTTAGGCTTTTTTTTACAATCTATGGTTTTAGGTCAGTAAAATTCTGGTATGGTTTCTTACTGATACTGATAATCTCAGTAAAGTTTGATGACACAGATATGAATAAATATTACAGATTTTTTATGAATATAGTAGATATAATACATTTCCACAGTGTTCACATAATCAAAATATCTGGATAAATATTGTCGTTGTGTGAATATTTCATCAGGAAGTGTCTAATTTTGGTCAGAGGTGACAGTTTCAGTGAGAAAGGTAGTCTACTTCCTCATTACCATGTTGAAATCTTTATAGGAAGTGACAAGCTTGCTACACACAGAGTTAAAATAAACTTTTGAAGGCCATTTGAAACTGTTTGTGTGGTTGAACGGTTCAGCTGGGGGTTTGAATACAGCTAGGCGTTCTTCCTACCTTCAGGTCAAAATGGCCAACGTTTTTTTTGTGCATGTAGCTGACACCCTCCAGAATCTGCTTCATAAACTCAATGGCCTCCGTCTCGGTGAGGTTTTCTTTCTCAGCGATGAAATCAAAGAGTTCCCCACCCTTTATGCTATATAAAAAACAAAAATAAATAAAAAAGATATGACAGAGTAGACCACAGGTCATCATCTTTAGTAATTTTATTGTATTTAAAAAATGATGGTTTAATTGCAATTTAAGCTAATAATAATTTCATATATTTTAATAAAACATGAAAGGCATATTACAATTTTCTAGACATTTTCTTAATGCAAAATATATATTTAATTTCCTACTTTTGATTTTATTATAAAATATGATGGACATTTCCTTATAATATTTATTATATTATCACTTTCTGGTTTTTTTTCTATATAAAGAAGCTTCCTCCGCCTTTTCAATTTTTTTTGTACCTCAGACACACACATATACTCACAGTTCAACGATGAGGACCACCTCTGCCCTGCTCTCGAAAACATCTCTGATAGCCATGATATTTTGATGTTGAAGCCCCTGTAGGATCTCCACCTCCTTCTCCACATTCTTCCTGTCCAGGCCCAGCCTGCTTCCTGCACCTTTTTTCAGCTTCAGGAACTTCCCGGCCCACAGAACGCCAGTGGCCCGCTCCCGCACTTCACGCACCTGCCCGAAGTGACCACTAAGGTAGTGACGATAGACAGAATGAACCGAGATAAGTGAGAACTACGCAGGTTTTCAACTATGTAAGTACTAAGAAATAACTGGGCTAAAAGAGATAATCATAAAAGTACAATGCATGTCTAGTGCACCAGCTGTGTAATATTACATAAAATACTTAAAGGAAAATGAACCTTTGGTCTAATTACACATTGGTACCTAGTCGAACGTTCTCTGAGATTTGTTTTCATGATAAACGAATGTAAAGAGTTTTATCTCTAAAAACTGTTTAGCGTATACGCTAGTATATGGGGGCATATAATAAGTAAAGAGAAATCGCTAGTTAATGTCACTAACAAGGTTCAAAATAGCCCCACACTAGCACGGTAACATAATGAGGGTCCCTGCATGCAAAATGAAGCATTGAGAACTTTGTAAGTATACAGTTCGTGGTTCGACTTGTCGAGACTGTTTTCCAAAGATGGCTGCTGCCTGTATACACGAAGTGCACTGTCTTTATAAAATATCTTCTTATTAAACGGTCTGTACACTTACAAAGTTCTCAATGCTTCGTTTTGCATGTATGGACCCTCATTATGTTACCGTGAGAGGGGCTATTTTGAGCATTGTTAGTGGTATTAACTAGCGATTTCTTTTTACTTATTAAATGCCCACATATACTAGCATGTACGCTAAACTGTTTTTAGAGATAAAACTCTTTACATTCGATTATCATGAAAACAAATCTCAGAGAACGGTCGACAATGTGTAATTAGACCATTAGAGTTCTCCTTTAATATTTATGGCACTATAAATGATCTTAATTATATTTATTTATTGTTTATCTATTTTAGATTCTTCATTTTACCTATTATTTTTTTCTAATTTATTATGGCACATTTTAATGTAATAATTAACTAATTATAATCACTTTATTGAAATAAACTAACTGTAATATATATTTTTTATATTTATTGTTGGAAATTTTGCCATTTTAATACCAAATTATTATTTGAAGTCCCTTTATTATATTATTTTTTTTATAGATTTTGATAAACACTACCATTTAAAAGTTTGGATCTGTAAGATTTTTTATGTTTTTGAAAGTCTAGTGTGCTCACCAAGGCTGTATAATTAAGTAAAAAATACAGTAAAACAGTAATTTTGTAAAAATATTATTACAATTTTAAAATGTTATTCATTCCTGTAATGGCAAATCTAAATTTTCAGCATTATTACTCCAGTCTTCAGTGTCACATGATCCTTCATCAATCATTTTGATATGCTGATTTGATGCTCAAGACACACTTCTTATTATCAATCATGAGTTGTGCTGCTTTGTTTTTGTTTTTTTAGGATTCTTTGATAAGGTAAAAAAAAATAATGACACATTGATGACCCTAAACTTCTGAACAGCAGTATATACCATGGTATAAGAAAGAGAAGATCTCTTTACCTTCCCAAAACATTTCCAATCTCATAAAGGTCTTCAACATTTTCCAGCTTAAAGACAGCCATGCTGCTGTCTCTCTCTCTCTCGCTCTTTTCAGTCTCCTGTCTGTGAATGTCCAAAGGAAAGCTATGGGCTATACAGTGCTCATACTGAGTATAGCATTTGATCCATACCTGAAACACAAAGGGTATAAGTTAGTTAGGTCTATATCTGTTCAATAAGAAAGCTCCAAACCCGCTGAATATATTTCCTTCAGCATTTAACTAAACTTGCACAACCGTTTGGCAAGTACAGTATTTGATGACTTTAAAGGCTGCCTAACAGCACTACTAGCTGAGAACAGAAAAGGACAGATATCTGGAAATAATTTACGAGTCCCTAAAGGGTAAACATCTGGGATCCAAACCCCTCTGATATGCTAGAACTACATAGATTAGAAAGAATGTTGCACTAAACGCTCTAGAATGTTGGTCACAAGTAAACAAACCAGTCCTTTAAACTTCGGCCAAGTGTGGACAAACGGTCACAATGTGCGATACAGAGTATTAACATACTGTGAGAGACTGCCCAACACATTCTTTAATAATGAGAACCTTTCCCATATTTAGTTGTTGTGTAATTAGTTTTCAATGGCTAACATAGTTTGTTACGAATAAATGAGAAAACTAATGAGGAGATAGGAAGAGAAAGATTGTTTATGGAGTGATGAGATCCACAAGTTATTATTTTGGCATATCTATGTCTGCCTATCTGGCAATTTAATGTGTCATTTTTCCATTTCAGATGATGTGAGTAATAAGTCTCAATAGAGTTCTACCATTTTATGAACACAGCTGATGTGGTTCTGTTTATTTGCATAAGCTAAATAATGTAAATGTGAAAAATTTGCCATTGAGAAAAACTTCAATTGGCAGTTCATCTGATTTGAATGCAAGCTGTTCAAACACTAAAATTAAGGATGCACAGACTTCAGGCATTAAAATTGCATACAAGGCAGTTTTTTTTAAATACAGAATTGTTTCTACTCCAGTTTGTTGGTGAAGTATAAACATTTAAACGACAATAAACTGTAATAACTGGTTTTCGTGACAGATTTATTCAAACATACATTATTTAAAAAATTTCAATGAAAAACATCACTAACAGGTCAAGTAAAACTGAAAAAAAAGATTTTTTTGGTAAGGTAAATACTACTGAAAAAAACTCAATGTAATTTACAAGAAAAAGTTAGTTCGGGCAAGAATTTAAAAAAAAAAACGAAGTAAATTCCATATCAGTACTTAGTTCAAGCGAGTAGAAATGAAAGCATAAATATGAACTCAATAAAATAAAGTAAAAATTACTCAACTTTTCTGATACTGGGGTTCCCATCATGCACTGGACCTTGAATAGTTAATGAGGTTCATTTTTCACTGGTTTCCAGCTGTATTTACACTGTTTTATCATTGCTTTTGTTGTCAGGATTAGTAACTTGCCATTTTGTGACATTTTGAGGAAATTTTCTGCTCAGAATGACACATTCAAACACAAAAACTCAAATGTTACCGTCATTGTGTATTGTCTACCAAGTATTGAGGTCTTTCCATTCACATCATGCTTAACATCTGACATGATGAAGTATAAATTACTTAGATAGGCTAAGTACTATAAAAAACTGGTATAATTCAATAAAATTGGTTTGAGGGAAATGTAATGCAAAGGAAATTACAACTAATTCGATATTAATCAACCTTTTACTAGCCAAGTTACTTATATTCTTTGTTACTTTCACTTAACTAAATTAAAGTTTACTTAATTCCATATTCCAAGTAAATTTTAACTTAAGATTTCTAATTAAAGCTACTGATAAATATGTTTAGGTTTTTACTTGGCAAATCTTTATAAATTTACTAGCATTATCTGAGTGGAAAAAGTTGCCTAGCTTTTTTCAAGTAAATACTCCACATTTTTTTCAGTGTAGAATGAATATGTAATACAGTGCTTACATTCTGCAAAATAGTTATTTTTTTACAACTCACTATTTTTTAAGGAGCTTTTTATTCTAGGCAACTAATGAGTTTATGGACATTGAATAACTTTTTTGAGATAAATTAAACATCAAAAAGCTCTTTTATTCACTGTCTTTCCCCTGTTGAAACACTGATTGTGTGATTACAGTGCAACCTAACTAAAATGCAAATGACACTGAGAGGAGCATCACTATTATTATTCCTTATTTAACAAATCCCAAATCTAGCCTACTAAACTTTACTCTTAGCAGCCACCCAGCTGAGATTTTTCCATTTGTTGATCATGGAACAACATTCCAGTCCAATCACTCTCTCTAAACCTTCCCCTACCCATTATATCCCTACAATCAGAGGGAAATGATAAGAAGCCCCTAACCCTTGTTATAAACCTATAGGTGAAGTTTCTAAACATAATTTGGGAGGGGTGAACACATCTAATCTTTCAATTAACTATCGGAAGTTCGGAACATAAGCAGCCGCTCACCTTGCGGCATCAGCTGTTTTTGCATCCCTCCACCTCCCCTACATAATTTAGGCATCTTGCTACCAGACTCGTTTTCCAAGCATTATTAGTCCCACTGGGGGGTATACTGTAACTAAGCTCGGGTTGAAGCTGCTTCATAGAGCCCCTCCACTGCGGACAGCAAGCCAAATACGTTTAACCTTAATAGCTGAAAGATTATATGGGCAAACATACTCGTGAAACTTGACAAAAACTACTCTTCAAATCCGATTGGTTGATCGGAATGTTGTTCCAGGATCAACAAGGATGTTGATACAAGGTGAAACCACGTTCCCCACAAACCACCCCTAACCACCCAGAACACCTTAGAAATCATATAGCAGTGCCTTGGCAAACCAACAACACCCTAGCAACCACCCTGAATACCCTAACAACCAAAGAGTCAAGAGTTCAGTGCTTATAGAAGTAGAAAAGAGCCCCCAAAAAGGAAGCGAGTGTCTTTTGGGAAAAGAGAGATACAATCAAACATTTATATCTGGAACACATGCTACACATCCTTCAAAACGCACATCTTATGTTTCTTCATGAATACATTTGCAATGCTCAGTGATAATATGGACAACAGCACTTATTTCTGTGTGCCAAGCTGAAGTTTACAAAGCACACTGGGCATCCAATTGTGTTAGAGCACATGTTACGTTGTTTAAAGTGCACGTCAATAGTGTTTAGAACGGAACAGAGCTGGAAAGACTTCATCGATTAACAAATCTTTTCCAAAATAACACCCCACCCATCTCACTTCAGCTTCCTACAGTAACATACCAGGAACGCAGCCACAGAGCCGAACAATAGTGCTCATTGCTAAACAAAAAAACCCCCTTTTGCTTCACTGGAGAAACAGTCACTCAGCTGTGTCGAATTACACACTCATATTATCTAGTAAAAGTAAAGCTAGGCTAAACAATTAGTTCCAGCTTGTGCTTGAATGCAATGTTTGCATCATTAGTGCATTTTGCAACTTTTTAGTTTAAAATATACATACACCGTCCATGCATGGATACAGCTAATCTTCTCTCATCTTACGTTAGCTCCTTTATTTAGCAAACTCAGATGTGTGACTGACAGCCTGCGGGTTAAAGTGTGTGAAAATTTGAGTATGAGCATGCTTTCATTCTGTTCTATACAAGATGAAAGAAAGAGCTTGAAGAGCAATTCCAAGACCTGGAACACTGCCTGCTGAATCTAGGATCAGATCTCCAGCCATAAAACACCCAAAATAATGATCTCATTGTTGGTTAGGATCAAAGTCTCAGAGCTTCAGCTTCTTCCCTACAACAATAAATGAGGAAAAAAACAAGGGGGAAAGAAAACAAATAAATAGATACATAATAGGGAAAGAGAATCTTCTAAGAATTGAGATAACCAAGAAGGTAGCCTAATAGTTTTACCACACAAGCTTACAGGAAACCACCCCACAGCAAATAAAACCAGTTAATTTAGATTTTAGGTTACCTGACTGACATCATGTTTTACAGTGCAAGGACAAAATTACACGTTACCAGAAAGGCATACTATAATTGAGCGTTTGTTTAATCAATCATCAAATATGGTCTAAAGAGATGCATATTTTTTTTTGAAACCCTAACCCTAACCTAACCAGAAGGACGACCGGGTTGTTTACCCTCAGGGGGAGGTGTTCTATGTTTCCAGGTATGGTGGTTATATCCAGTCATTAACCACTTAACCACTTCTCTTGCTGTTAAAACTAACTTAGTTGTTTAACGATTTGTGTTAGGCGGCTACTTGGCTATTTAATTTTAAACAACATAATAAACTCAGTGACAGTCACCTACAAAGTTTTGAAACTCACTATGGTTTTTACACAGGTCTTGACCAGTTTTGAAAGTGAATGTGAATGAGAGACAGTGCATGTTCCAAATGTCCGTCTGTCTGACGATGACAGAAAATTCCACACGGAATGAAACGATATCACACAATAATTTAAAAAGGCGAACGTCTCCTGTCATCTCAGTCCTGAACACGACTGAAACCTGCGTGTGGAAACTTGTTCGTTTCTCATTCTTGTACGTCGTGTGTGTTTGATATTCCACTGCGAGTGTTTCTGAGCCCCTGCGCCTACGAACTACGAAGCCCCCGAAAGTCTGTCACGACCACAATGCAACGATTCACGTTAATGTCTATTTTCTTATAGTAGCTACAACTTCTATCATGCAATGCGACACATGTAGGATACAAATTATTTTTTTTTACCCATTTATCTCCTTACTTCCATATTGGATAACCTATTTCAGGTGAAATCCCTTGTAACCAGACGAAACGGTTGATTTATGTGACGTACCTGGCTTAGATCGTCATGAAGCAGTGTCGTGTGTGTTTCACGGACGGTATTCCTCTGGAGCTCCACTCGCTGCAGAAGCGCTCGCACTGAAATGAGGAAACGGTGGTGTTGACCATGTTAGTGCAGTGCCCGAAATGTGGCAAGCCATTTTAACACTATTCTTCTACACTACCGTCTGTTAGCCTACTGAATAGTATGCCTTGCTTTTGGCTTGCTTTGGGCTTGCTCAGTTGGGATTATTTAGTGTTTAGCAATGTTGTTGATCCTGTGTTGTGCTACTTTCATGTTATCAGTGTGAAGGTGCTTTGATACAATCTGTATTGTGAAAAGCGCTATATAAATAAATGTGACTTGACTTGACTTGACTATGCAATAGTGACCATTTCTAACATCAATGCATCTTCATTAGATTTTCATTTGAGGCTGCTAGCAAATACTTATTCCAGTAGTGAGTAGCTTATAGGAGCCTACAGTATATGCGTAGTGGCTGTAGAAAGGCGCACATGGAAATGGTTATTGATACAAAGTCTTTTAATTAAATGGCAGACTCAGAGGGTACACGGCCACGTTCCAACTATCAAACAATAACCGAGGACTGAACAGAACAGGGAGTGTAATGTGAACACTAAACCGGAACAGTTGACAAGACGTACTAATTAGAAACCAGTGACTAATACAGACAAGACAGAAACTGAACTAAACTGAACATAGCCTTCATGTGACAGGTAGCTATACATCAGTTAACAACCAATCACATTGAACTATGTATTTTGACTGTACCTTACAGTTATTTCATATTTAATAACTCCATAGTAGTTATTTACCCCTTAAAGGCACACTATGCAGGAATTCCGTTTTTGTCAAACAGCGACCTCTAGAGTCGCTGTGGAGTACTTGTATTCAATGTTACTGTCGTAAATACCACTCACGCAGAACGTCTCTGTACTCACAGTCTCATAACCATTTGAAGCTGTTATATTAAGGTACAAATCTTGCATAGTGTTGCATTTTTTTGCATTAAATAAGAGATCTAGCGCCAAAATGTGTTTTTGAACTCAAGCTGAGCGCTTGTGTCCCCTGCTATCAGTGTCATGAATACATAGTGTCTCTTGTGGCATTTTTGGGTGAACTATTTTTGGGTGAACTAACCCTTTAAGTGTCTTCATGATTCATATGTTGTTGTTGTTGATGATGTGTGACGTCGTTGCCGTATAAAGCATGTCGTTATTCTCATGAGATTTGTCAGGGGCGCTCCTCTCAAACTTGCATTGATGGTTTTTCCAGTGCCCCCACCACCCCACAAAAAAGCTTTACTACCAGGAAGATTTGCCCTACTATGAGTTTGTTTACCACCGAAATGACTTTGAAGCTTGCATAGTGTGCCTTTAATTAGGCCTATACTTATAAGAAATGTTAGTGAAAAGATACAAGTGTACATAAATATATACCAGTAATCTGATAAAAAAGTATATGGAAAAAAAGTAACCAAGTTGTAGTAATTAATAGCATATTAAAAGTGGAATGTGTATCAGAATTTGGAATATATAGTTGGAAGTGAATTGTTGATATCTGAACCACAGATGCCCATAGAATTTACAGACAAATATTCACTTCGAGATAGCAAATGAATGAATGACATCGAAAACAATCACCTGCTAAAATGAACTTTTTAATATGGGAATATTAACATCAACAAACAAGTACTGCCTGACTAGTTACTAAATTCAACAATATATTAGTATTAGTAGGTTGTCATAGAATTACTTAATATTAAATCAATCAATCAATCAACGTAGCCTAGTATATATATATACGCACTAGTTTTCAAGACTAAATGTTAAAACAGCTTGCCACAGCACACCTCAAATGAAGAACAGGGGGTGGATGTAGGATGTATCATAGGTAACTCTGCAGCTGAGCTCCATAAAACATCTGGAATTCACTGTTGATAGATATATTGAGGCTGAATGATTCATTTTCTGCAGCAGAACAAAAACTGACTCATTTCAAACAAGTCAGAAAAATCGGAACAAGTCAGACAATTAGGCTCTCGGAACATTAGTTAAGGTGATCGTAACATTTCAGGCAATAATTACAGTGGACTAAGCTATGGAGTCTGGACATAGACTGTTCTTATTTAACTAACGAGATTTTGAAACAGACGTTTTGAATCAGATGGCAAGGAACGCATTGTAAGATGGAACAATGCGCATGACAATAGCACAAAATAAATCCGTTGTATATAATTTGGTATGCATGACTTATTGCTATTGTTTATTGTCGAGTGCAAAGAGTGACAGGCAATTTTCATTCCTGTCTCTTGCCGAATTTCATTCTCAAGTTAATGTAAGTGAGCCATCTAGTGGAGGTATCATGTAACTGTAAAAATAAAATTAATAAAAACAGCCACAAACGTAGAAATATTGTTACATGAAAATTATTTTCGGAATTAATAACTACTAAATAATATATAATTTCACGGTAACACTTTACAATAAGGTGTATTAGTTAACATTAGTAAATATCAACTAGCCTATAACATGAATTAACAATGAGCATATTTGTTACAGCTAGGCTATTCATCTTTGTTAATGTTATTAATAAAAATACAACTGTTCATTGTTTGTTCATGTTAGTTCACAGTGTATTAACGAATGTTAACAAATACAACCTTTGACTTTAATAACTTATTAGTAGGCTAAATGTTTCAAAATCACGTTAACTATAGATTAATAAATGCGAAGTAGGCCTATTGTTCAATCTTAGTTCATTAACTAAGGTAGTAAACTAATGTTAAATAATGAATTAAAATAATATAGGCTTACAATAAATAGGCCTACAGAAAAAAAAACTAGAGAAAGAGAAGGTCAATAATGACTCGTTATGTATCACAAAGAAATGTGGCTTTTCTGTCAAATTTAAAGAAACTTAATTAGGTGCATCTAGCCTACTCTAACCCCATTAGTAACTATATCTCTTTTGTCTTCTTTATTTTCCTCACCTCTCTTGTTCATTGAGGTTCTTTCTCATCCTGTGTGGTGAGCAAGTCACGACGTCACATGACTCCTCAACTGCCTCTTCTCTCTCTCACCCCAACACACTCACTGTGCTAAGACATAAATAAACGTGCACATATATACAGATTGACAGAATTTGTGATGAATATGGAAGAGATTTTTAAACAAGACGATTTAGTGTTCTGTTGACAGACATCCATCAAGCTAAAAAAATCATAACACTGCAGTAAAATGAGTTTTAAGAGGAGCTCCACTTTTAGACATTAATTTGATATTAGCCTATTAAGGTATATTAATACATATCTTTTCAAAGATACATATCTTTTCAATTGGATTGGTTCTGAAGAATTTGGTAATTGTGTGCTGGTAGTTCAAATGAGTAAAAAAAAAAAAAAAAAAAAAAAATTCTGGCATATTGCATGCATGCTTTTTAAAAATCAATGTAATTTTGGTCCGGTTGTTTATTTAAGCTTTAGCTGTATATTTCACATCTGCACGCAATCACAAACAGTTGCAGTTTACCATTGGTTATGTGCTCATGACCTTTTATTTGCCGCTTTCTTTCTCTCTGTCACACACATGCATTTAAACAGGATGAGGCAGAAACACCCATGATCTGATACGAAGAGGTACATTTACATCCTGCGCTTCAGCATGGACTTTGACTACCAAAAAATTAAAGGTCAGCTATTTCTCACCAGTTTTTGAACTTACATATTTATTCTTTCAGGTAGAAATTGACCGTTTTAGTATAGAAATAACAAAACACAATCCTAGTTTTGAGATGTTGTGTTTACGTGTATACTGACGTTACTAGAAACAACTGTTATTTTGTGAAGGTTATACATTTGCATTTGATCATTTTGTGAAGTTAAACATACTTTTGATTCCACTTTATTTTAAGGTGTCTTTTCTACACTGTAATTAAGTACTGAATATTAAGTAAATCCATACTTACTATATAGGCTTAGGATTTGGTTTGGTTTGGTTTAGTTGCATGCAATTATGCATAATGTATTGTTATTAGTGGAACATGTTTTATGATCAGAATGAAGCTATATGGTGCTCAGGCTGTGCATGTGCAGCTTATTCTATTTTAATGTGTTGATATAGTTTAAAGGCAATCCAGCATTAATATAGAATTGCAACAAAAAAAGCTTGTACAAAACATCAACACAAATCTACATAATAAACCTATCCTCAATAATTCTCAGACACATCAACTGATTCTGACTGTTGCATAAATCTTTCAACGGCATTAGTGTTACGGAGCATGTGATATTTGCAACATTATTACTTTTGCTGATTTGTTTGATGTCTATGAGTTCTACAGATATGCATGTTGGTGACGTGCATGTTAAAAAGTGACATTTCCGTTTGAAGGCTTTATTTTGAGCCTGACTGTAGTGTGATTCTAACTGTTAACTTTTTAAGCTCACACTGACATCTGTTATTTAGATACTAAAATCTACAAGTTAATATTAAAAAATCTGAATCCATTTACGGATAAATAGATTTGAAAGGAAATTCAAATCAGCAGCAGACTGAAGGCTTAATTAGGCCTATTGTTATTATATCGTAACTGTTTATTTTCACATATTTTCCCCTCTAAAACAGTAAATAATAACAAATAAATGATTATTACAGGTCTACTACTTTGAAATTTAGTTTTTAGCAACGTAAATTTCAATTTTTATGTCAATGTAGTATCGCACATAAATATCGCACGGGAATACAATAAATGTAGGCCTACACTTCTTGTTTTTAATCCATGTTAATACATGTTATTGCCTGCCATTCACGTCCAAAATAGTCTTTAAGGGGAGGAATCATTTACAAAAGTAGGCTAGTACATTATGCCATCTTTCAGTGACGAGTTTTTCACGCCAAGAGTTAAATAGGGGAGCGTTCTTTAATCCAAACATGAATGGAATGGCGAGCACTGCAGCATACAACATTATGGATATTATTTTTGTTTCCATTACACAATTGTTTACACTATAGGGTACACAGTCTATGATCCAGGAGCACTTTAATCCCAAACGATTTTTCAATTTCCTGAATAACCGAAGACCAGAATGATGCAA